TTCTTCATGATGGCTCCTCCACTTTGTTCTGTTCCTCCCCTTTATATATCTTTTGCATAATGCTGGAATCCTTTGTCCCTCTCTGGGTTCCCACCCCCTCCTTCTCAATGGAAAGACACCAGGTTAAAGATGGATTCCAGTTCAGGTGACATGATCACATGTCACTGCAAGACTTCATTGCCCACTTGCCAGCACACACGTATACAGGAAGACTTACAGGTAAAACACAGCCATCTGCAGTCAATAGTCCTGGTTAATGGGAGTCATCAAGATTCCAAACCACCATTAATGGCTCACACTTTGCATAATTACAATAGGCCCTCAGAGTTATATTTCATATTTCTAGTTTCAGATACAAGAGTGGTACATTTATACAAATAGGATGATCACACTCAGTAGACTATAAGCTTTGTAATGATACCTTACAAGAGACCTTTTGCATAAAGCATATTCCAGATACATTATATTCACTCATTGGCATGTTTTTATAAAACCATATAGACTGCAACATCACATGGGTTAATGATTGTGCCCTCCCTTATCAAAGAAAAGTGTCAGGCATACTCATTGGATAATATTTGTAAATTGCCATGTTAATACTAACTAGGATTTACAAGAAGGGAATTTTCTTCATTACACCTCTGTCTGTTAACATTCAGAAGCTAAATTTCACTCTGGACTGTTATAAAAGGAAAGCAGAATTATTGCTCAACAAGAAGAAAACTACAAAGAATAGAGTCTCAGTGTCTGCATTTCTCCTTGAAATACGTTGTGTTAAAAGCACTTTACTTTTTTTAAAAAAGCACAATGATAGTAGCATCCTGCTAAATATAGATGAGTCACCACAATTTAGTAGTTGAGAATACCATTAGAAATATTGCTTATCCTGCCACATGCATTTAACATTCTCTAGTGGATAGAACTCGGACCAAGGAGCCAGCACCATTTGCCTCTATTCATGGCTCTGCCACTGACCTTGAGCAAGACCTTAAACCCCTTTTGCCTCAATATTGCCATCTGTAATATTGGCATACTGCTACTCACTCACGTCTCAGGAGGGAGAGGAGAAATAATTTGCAAGTTTCTTAAGCTGTTTATGCAACACTTGGAATATTCAAACTGTTACAGAAAAACTAAATATAGTTGGTCTTGAGGTGCTTTGAGATCCCACAATGACATCCTATAAATGAAAAACTGTTTGAAAAGTACTGAAAGAAAAGAGATGAAAAGTCAATTATGCCCATTTTCCAAAAGAGGGGAGGAAGCCCATTGGAGAAGACCAAGAGTGTGTTAATGCATTTGTGTTTACCTCTAGAGAACAGGTCAGGTCGCAAGTGAAATAATGTATCTACAACAATCAAGAAGCCATGCAGTTCAACACAAGCAGCAGTCTGTTCAGATGATACACAAGGATGGACGAGCAAGGGGCACTGTCCTCGGACCACGACTCAGGAGCTGTAGCAGAGCTGGGAGTAAGAGGGAGCAGGCCTGCAATAGAAGCAGGTGCTATATGGCAGGGCTGAAGTGCGCTACCAGAGCTGCGTAAAAGGAGTCCAAGACTGGACTAAAAGAGCACAAGGTGCTGCAGATCAAGATGAATGGTGTAGAACTGTGTGAGACGCTGCAGAGCAGTTGCTGGGACTCTGGCAGACTCTATGCGGTGCTGTCAGTCCCTCGGTCTCGAGAGCCCCCACTGCACATGCACAGTTAACACGATCACCTGTTGCGACGACATCACATGATAGAAACCTCATTTCGTTAAAAATGAATCTTCAATTTAGCTGTTCCCAATGTGTGATTTCTAACACATTTGAAAATTTGCAATAAGCTATTACTGGCAACATAGCGGGATTGCTTTGCAAGCATAGGTTTTGTTTAAGCTTTAAACAGAATTCCCTCCCTACTTTCCATATATTCCACTAGGGGGGCTGAATGTCGATTAACATTTGTATAAATCCCCCTTAATGCTTTACAGGGAAACTAAAGACACTGTCCCTGCCCTGAGGAGCGTGCAGTATGGGTATTATAAGCCTAAACAAAGCTGCACACTAGCTCCTATGAAACAGAACCACCGCTATTCCACAAAACAACAAGACAACATTAATAAAATGGGCTACGACACCAGATTCTCATCAGGCGATTCCCTAAAAAGTTTGACCATACCATGTCATAGATGTAAAGTGACTGGGTGAAAGGAGACCCCTGGAGGTTCCATCCTCAGTCCAAATATCACCTTGAATCAGACATGCCAAACCCGTGAAAAAAAGCACAGAAATTGGGCTTGTTTTTGGCTTAATTGGCTTGTGAGTTGCTTGTTGGCTAGTTTTTGGCTTGTAGCTTGTTGCTTCTTCTTTTTTTTTGATTGGTTCCCAGCAAGCAGGGGCAAGGGTGGGGGACAGAGTCAGGGGTGCATAGCAGGCCCACCACAGTCCCAGACTGCACGCCAGGCGGATCTAGTAACAGAGAATGTTGGGGTTCTTAGGGATTGGCTTGTTTGGGCCTTGTTTTGACATGGGATTAGCTTGATTTTTGTCTTATTCTGAAAATCGAGGTGCTAATTTACAGCGTGAAAGTTGGCAACTGTGCTTTGAATGTGGTCCAATCTCCCTGCCTTCTGACCCCCCACCCATCAAACCAAACACACATCTGATAGAAAGACCACACTTCCTATCTAAATGTTGTACCCCAAAGTGAGACCCACTTGTGGGTCTCCTTCAAACATTATTTGGCTTAAAAACAACCATGGTAATCATTGGAGTTTAATTCAACATAAGTAATGCTGTATGCCTGACACTTACACCTTCACCAGATTATTCTTCTATGAAGGACCCAAAAAAAAAAATGTACCTCTTCCTTCTATGTAACATGCAGGTTACTACACCACTGTTGCTTACAACTACTACCCATTTCAAAGCATCTTCCGAAGGCAAAAATAAACCACCAACTTGAGAGAATGGAGGATCACTGATGCATCTTTAAAAATTAAAGAGGAAGGTGCAGGAAAACAATTACTGTTCTGTAAATAAAATCTTTTATTTAAAGGTAAATTTGTAATCTGCCAAGTAGTATCTATCAACATTGTACAATAAAACGAAAGCCCCAGAATAAATATCGGTTAGATCCTTTACCATGTAAAGAGATAGTGAAGTGCAACTCAAATTTGTCCCCAAAATTGGAGTTTGTAATAAACTTATACAAAAATCTCACATCAATAGAAATGTTTTCATTATTCCCCCTCCCCGGTAATTTGGGGGTGAGGGGTGAAAGGTTCTGTTTAAACAATCATACCATTTCATTGTTTGTAACCCAAACACTGCAGCATTGAGAAACTAATCAGTGAAGTTGTTTTCACTTTCATCATTATCCAAGCTAAGAAAAATTCAAAAAGAAAACAAACAGCATGAATAGTACTTCCTATTTCAGGGGTAATCAATTATTTTTTGTCAAGGTCCAAATTCCTTCATCAAAGTATAGTCAATTTCCAGACTCCAGAGAAAATACAAAAATAAAATAAAATAATAATAATAATAAGTAAATAAAAAGGTTTCAGAGTCCGTTCAAAAGCATCTGATGGTCCAGATTTATCCTGCAGTCTGCCTATTGACTATCCTTGTCCTATTTAATCTAAAATGTTGTTAGTAAAATGGGTAAGGAAATATATTGTAAACAAGCTCTTTTTTTAAGCTGACAGGGAAAAAAATGTTCAAAACAACCTAATTTAGGCTCCTAAATCACTTTTGAAAATTGGACTCCGGGATCTAAGTCACTTCAGCACGTTTGAAAACTGTACCCCGTATCTTAGAGGAACTATACCTTAACAGATCCTAAACTATGGAGAGGGAAAGCACCATTGCATATGAGAGACAATTCAGGCTCTCCTGTCTGCCTGCTGCTAAAAAGAGGGCATACCTAACTGGTCAAGGGATGAGATAAGACAGACTCTTATAATGCTCCCATCACCTTAGTATCTGAGCACTTTCCAGTGGCGCATTACGTGATGTGACTAACATCCTATGTGCAGTTTGAGCTCTCTCACCCCCTACTCTAGGGGAGAACTGTGGATGCAGGGTAGGTAGCATTTCGTTTTGGTAGGGGTATGGGTTGGGGTTGGCTTGTTAACTGTACATGCTGCTCTGTGTTTGTGTTAGAGAAGGCAGGGTGGAGAAATGCACCTGCAGCTGAAGGTACTGGTGAGGTCTGTGATGATCCTTAGTCTCGTGTGGGAGTTCCTGTCACAGTCTTGGACCAACCCCCTGAGCAAGCTCTTTCTCCCTCACAGACAAGCTTTACCCTACTGGTAGAAAGTTGCCTTATGCCTGAGGAGCAAAGTTGTAAATCATGATCTTCATCCTGGAGCTTTAAGCAATCTTTGAGCTAGGGTGGGGCCAGGCCATTGAGCATGAAGTGAAATACAGTTACTTTAAAGCAAGTTCAAGAGCCCAGCAGAAAACGCTCCTGTGAACACCGCAGAGAGAGAGGACATGGGCCACACTCTCTCCATGCCTGGCTGCAATAGAACAACTCCATCCGACCCATCTGCGTTAAAAACGACTACAGGAGCAATCGCACACTTCCCATTCCCTATAAATAAGCCAAGGCTGGGCAGTTTACTGGGCACAAATCAGAACGTCTCCCTCCCTCTGACAAGGAGCATCCCCTTCCCCTGGAGTCCCCCTGGCGGAATAGTCCGGGGCTCGGGAAGCCGGGGGTGGGAGGGCGGCGGATCAGCCCCTCTCTTGGGACTTCCAGCCAACTTGCTTAGCTCACCCTTGCAGTGGGGAAGCGGACAGCGCCTGGGTGCCCAGCCGGCGCGCTGCCCCGTTCCCTGCTCGGCGATGCCACCCTTCCGACCCCAGCGCCAAGCGCCTAGTGGGCGATCGCTTCCCCCTCGCCCGGCCCGGGCACCGACAAAGTTGCGAGTTCAAGTCCCGCCCGGGCTCGGAGTGAAGTCGGAGGGCCGGTGCCACCCCGCCGCCCTCCCCGCCCAGGGCGGCACTCACCTCGCAGAGACAGGAGCGCAGCCAAGGGGCCGACCCACAGCCCCCAGCGGCCGGAGCCCCTCGGAGTCATGCCGGGCAGGGAGAGGGGCTCAGCCGGCATCTCGCGCCCCCTCCCCGGGCAGCGGCGGCTCCGCGCCCGGCTGCAAGCCCCCAAGTCCAGCCCCAGGTGCGCTCAGCTGCCCGGAGCTCCCAGCCTGGGCTGCTCCTGCTGCAGCCGCAGCTCCGGCTCCTCCCGCGGCAGCCGCTGTCCCGGGACCGCCCGCCTGCACCGCCCGCTCCCCGGGAGGCTCTGGAGCTCCGGAGCCCCGGCAGCCCGGGGACGCCGCCAGGCTCCGAACCGGCCCGAGAGCGCAGCCTGGCGGCCTCGCCGAGCTCCAGCAGCCCGCCACCGGGATGCCACCCAGCCCGGGCACCGCCTGCCCCAACCCGGCACCGCAGGTGCCCCGGGCTCCGCTCCTCCCCGCCCGAGCGCCTGCCTCACACCCCCGGGGACTCTGCTGCGGCTCGGCCGGGGCCCCGAGCTGTTGCCCCAGAAACTGGAGAACCGCACACACCAAAAGCGGAATAAAACTGCAGGGCGCATTCCCCCCTCCCCTCCCTTTCCCCCCCTTTCCCCAAGAGGCGGGCTTGCTTTAGAGCTGCACGCTGCTTTATTCCCCCTCCCCCTCACCCCGCCACCCAGCACAGCTGGCTCCTAGAAAGCCAAGGGCTGCTTCTCTCTAGCCCGAAAACACTGGCTGCCCAAACTTCGACCGTGCACTTGCCAGAAGCCCAAAGGGCCGCTCTGCGGCTGCCCGAAACCGAGCAGGTTTCAGCCCTGCTCCGGCTGCACCACCTCAAGTTGGCCTAAGATAGGGTGGCCCCTGGAGACAGCATCCTCCAGTGACTTAGCCAGCAACGTGCCAGCTTTATGCCACTGAAATCCGGGCACTGCAGAGACAACTAGTCCAGCTGTGCCATGCCTTGTTGCCAGCCCAGTGCCCAACAGAGGTCCCTCCCTGCAGGTGATGCTCCCTCTTCATCCAAGTCATCTCCCTGCCTGGCTCAGTTCAAGATGGAGCATCATGCCCATGCAATCAGAATGCACATGCCCACACCTTGTTTTAGTACATAGAAACTAAGCAGTCCAACATGTGATGCTCCATTTTGGTCCAAGCTAAGATGCAGCCTCTTACAAACCAGCCCTAGGCTGTCCCTGCTTGCAATACTCAAATTTTTAATCCCAGCAGGCATGTGGTCTCCTGGGAACAACAGGGCCCAGCTTGTGATGTGCCAACCCGACCTGAGCAGAGGCTGTGGATTGTGGCGATGACACTTTTAGCTAGCCCCTGTGCTATTTCCCTCTTAGAGTCTGGGCAGTTCTGGAAGGAAGACTGCATTGTGGGACTTATTGCCTCTAAGGCTTGCATCTCTGTATTAGTGGGTTGGGTGGGCTACACTGGACTTGTCTCTGCACTACCCAGCTTCAAGTGGCATCAATGCCACGGGCCTAATTTTCTGAGGTATTGTGCACAAACAATTCCAAGTCAAGTCAATGGGAGACACAGGTGTCCGGGACCTCTGATAATCAAACAAGATATTACTGAAAATAAAGTGATTTGGAACGCTGAGTTAGCAATGCCGTGTAACATAAAAAACACCAAGCCGGTGGAGACACCACGGCCCTGGGCAGGGGAGACTGACACTGCTCTTACCCGGGAAGCTGGCAGCTAGGTATTACAGGGACGTGGCCATTAGAAATGGATAGACAAACTGAGCAAAGAGAAACAGCTTCCGTTACTTGATGGTGGTGCTGAAGTGTCCTTTTCCTCTGCAGAGAGCCGAGACCTGGGAACTACCTTAGCCTCTTGACAAATAAGTGTTTGATTAAAAACAGTCTCACTGCATTTAGTACATGCCAATTTCGCTCATGCCAGGTCATCTACTTGCAGAGAGGTAGACCACTAGAATCAGTTCAGTCAATGAGCAGGTCCCTCTGCAGTGGCTGATTGGATTCACTTCCTGCAGAGTACCCATAAACATGACTTTAATCATGATCCTAGTGGGCAGCACTTCTGCCAGCTGGCCTAAAATGAGCCAATGCCTCCTGGTCAGGTGGGTAGGAGCTGTGTCTATCAGTTAACCATCTTCTGGCATCTGACCCCCACAACATATCATGGCATACCGACAAGGCAAAGATGGCTTTAATTAGTTACTTCAGTGGCTGGCAAAATAAATTAATCTGTGGCTATGCAGAAAGTTGGAATGACAGCCACAGGGAACAAATGGCTAGATATTTAGAAATAACCCTCACTCCACAACACCACCACCTCCGAAATAGTTTGAAAATTGCTCAGGAAGGACTTCAAAGGTGTCCCCTTGTTCCTGGAACTCTAGTGGATTATTGGAAAGGAAATTTAGTCTTCCCCAATACTTAGTATGCTCCAGCTCCTTGTATTGACTTTTTTTTGTACTTTGTCATCATCAAACATCCGCAACTAGATCCCTCAGAGAAGGGGTAGGAGCAAGTGACTGTGAGGTATATATGTACTGCTCCCTTGAAGTCCATTTGCCCATCAGGGAGTGCCCCATTGACACTGATGGAACAGCACACTCCTGAGAGTGGAGGAGAATTACGCATACAAATTCTCCAGACATCAGCAGCTGACTGCTGCAAGTCTTCCTGTCAGATACTGTATGAATTTAGTGTCTAATATCTTTGCCAAACATAGCATGTAAGATCTTGGCAAAGACCTAAGGCAAAAGAATCCACAATTATTATCTGCTTTATCCTTTTAAAGAATTACTGTCAGTAAGGTAGTTCTCATATCAGGGAATTATACTTTTCTGGGACAGTTCAGTGAAGAACCTTTCCAGGATAGGTGCTACCTATTCTTCAAATGGTTTATAAAAGTCAGGTGGGAAGCCACCGGTTCCAGGAACTCTGTCAAATGCTAAGTCCTGAATTGTCTCTTCTGTTTCCTGAACTGTTATTGGGTTATCCATTGGCAGATAGTAATTTAATAAAGGTGCCATTGCTCAAGAATTGAACAAAATCAGCTTTCTTCTGGCTTATAAATAAAGATAATGATAAAATTTACTGAATCGATCATTAATAACTTTAAGGTCTACTGAAACTTGGTTCTCTCAGGGTTATTGAGGAAATGGAGTTGGCAGCTTGCTCTGTTTTAATTCTGTTTGGGAAGAAATGTGACAGAATATCAAAAATACATCCACTTAATTATCTTTACAATTTTTCAAGGAAAAAAAAAACGTGAACAGGTTTTGCTGAATACTAATGTCTATACAAGATAGATTGAGCTAACCACAGCAAATGCTGGAGATGCCACTATCCATCAATTACGAATCTGTCCCATATAGTTCTTTTCCTTGCCAAGATTTACAAAAATTCTGGAGCAACATATTCAAAGGTCTTGCTATAACTCTTAATACAGAGATCTGTCCCTCTCCAAGAGTTCATAATACTGGAATTACAGAATTATGTTTTCCAGCAAACACCAACCAATGGGGGCAACAACATGTCTTATAGTAGCATAACCCAGACTGCTCAAAGAATGGAAATCTAGTTTATTCATAACAGCCGGAAGAATTTAATACACATAGCTCTGATTGATAAAAATACATTACTGACAAAATGGGGAAAGGCACTAAAATTTATCATGTGGATGCACAACATAGCATGGCTGTTACATGATGTCATAATATTTTTTTAAACTGCATTGGCAACTAGTATACACTTGTTCTATGATCGTGCACTGGCCCTTTTCGGAGTCAAAATTAAAAACAAAATAAATACCCGGACTGAAATAGACACTAAAAATGTAAAGTAACAGGCTTATTTTGGGATTCTTTCATCTTGATATGGTAATGATTGTATCCATTGAAATATCTTGCTTATTATGTTGGGGGGTTATTAATTTTGAAAAATATTCCTGGTCTCAAGGCCTGTCGCGTTGGTGCCCATTGTGCTAGGTGCTGTACACATGAAGTGACAGTGCCTTTAAAAAAAAAGCAGCTTTTAGTTTAGCCTGCTTCCCAGCACCTAATCCAACTGTGCCAGTCCAGTTCCCATGTGACTAGTGTTCAGAATCTCAAACCACCTCTGTGCCTTTCTGCCATGTACAACTTGATGTGATGCACATAAACCTAGGGCCGCATTCATTCTTGGAACAAACTAAGCCTTTAATTCTAGGAATTCATTAAAAAAATAAGAGCCTTTATTTCTAAATTAAGTTTTAGCTAAAATACCAGGAGGCACATGCCCCTCTTAAAACTGGGGGCCAAATGTTCAAACTTGCCCCTAAATTGTGCATTCAGATTTGGCTCTGGGTGTAAGAAACTGCTCTGACAGGTCTGAGTCTCACAGGTCTTTCCACACGCTCTGGCGTTAGTACAATCCATCACATATATCAAAACAAACAGGGACTGTTAATCCTTAGGTTATAACTGACACCGTGGGCAGTTGTTTATTGATACCACAGGCCACATGGGCTCTTGTCAGAGATGATAAAGTCCATTGAGTTAGTAGCATTTTGGATATTCGCGAACCCAGATCCACTGAACATTCCACTTAGTGACATTAACTTTTGTACCCAGGTACCTCCCCACAGTTAACACTACAATAAAACACAAAGACATAGTGGCAAGCAATAGCCTGTTGGCTATTAATCCATAAAGCAGAATGCCATAGGTTCATATCCATGGTCTTGTGATGGGATATACATATTCCACATATGATTAGGAAGAAAGGGGTTAATTCCTGCAAAGAGAGAAAGGCAAAAGACCAGCCTTGCTCTAGAGAACTATATTGTGCTTGCCAAGCACAGAGTTTACTCCTAAATTCATCAAGGCAGATACTTAACCAGAAGAGGAAATTATCTGGGCTGATCAGAGAAGGAGGAAGTGTTCATTTCCTATTCTACCCTGCCTGGGGAAACTCCTAGGACTGATCTGGAACAAGGAAACTGAAGGTGCTGAAACAAGAACTCCTTTGGTCTGTGTTTACACCTTCCACTCCAGGAGGAGAGAGAGCTGTATCCTCTCTAGCAGGTGAAGCT